GTCTTAAGTTCACTACACGACACGACGTAGCTTAGCAATAAACAGTTTATTGTGACCGTCTCAAAATTAAGACAGAACAAGACATAGCTAGACCGTCTTAGATTTACTACAGAACAAGACAGCTAGACCGTCTTAAATTTACTACAGAACAAGAAACAGCTAGACCGTTTTAGATTTACTACAGAACAAGAAACAGCTAGACCGTCTCAGATTTACGACAGAACAAGACATATCTAGACCGTCTCAGATTTACTACAGAACAAGACAAAGCTAGACCGTCTCAGATTAAAGACAGAACAAGACTTAGCTAGCTAGACCGCCTCAGATTTACTACAGAACAAGACATATCTAGACCGTCTCAGATTTACTACAGAACAAGACATAGCTAGACCGTCTCAGATTTACTACACACGACACGACAAATCCAAGCAATCAACACAGACGAAGCCGTGTGTTAATTATTGTTTTACCGCTGAGCTGACCCACTAAGGGTCAGGTGTGCGCTAATTACAACTTTTTTTATTATTATCAGATTTGTAAACAAAGACTTCTTTCATCGATTTTTTACGAATTTTTTACTAGAATATTCTACCTGGTGTCGTACTTAAATTACGTCACACGTCCAATGTGGAAGGGGGACAATTTACACCACGGTGAAAAGGGGGTGGGGTTTAGGAATTAAAATAAAATGATGTAAGAAAATGTTTTATAGGAGGTGGAGCTTCATGGCAGAGGGCGGGGTATGATTTTTCGTGACTAGTTTATATTGCTAGAAGGTGTAAGGCATAATACGGGGTTTAAAAAAAAACTCTGTCCAGTTAGATAATAGGTTGATGCACCTTTTGGATCACAATTCTATACAGAGCATCGGGCACTGGGTGACATCTCTACCACCTCTACTTCCCCTACACTCGCTACCAACTTCCCTGCCTAGCATACCGTTATTCCCCTCCCTCCCCGGCATACCCCCCCCCCCTTACCTTTTCTCCCCTCACTTTTCTGACCCTCCTTATCCAATGAAAAGTTTATTGTGACATGTCACATCGATTATAACAGAACTCAGATTGTCACTTACATAAAAAGAAATTGTCACCTCAACAGTACGAAATTGTGACGATAACAAAGCTAAATTTGTGACACAAATAAAAGGAAATTGTGACAACGATTAAAAAAACAAACAAAATTGTCAAATGAACAGAACGAAATTGTGACAATGACAACAAAGCTAAAATTGAGACTCAAACAGACGGAAATTGTGACAACGATTAAAAAAAACAACCACAATTGTCTAATGAACAGAACGAAATTATGACAACGAAAACAAAGCTAAAATTGTGACACAAATAAAAGGAAATAGTGACAACGATTAAAAAGAATTGTCACATAGACAAAACAAAATTGTGACAACGATTAAAAAAACAACCAAAATTGTCACATGAGCAGAACGAAATTGTGACAACGACAACAAAGCTAAAATTGTGACAGAAACAGAAGGAAATTGTGACATGAACAGAACAAAATTGTGACAACGATTAAAAAAAATTGTGACATGAACAGAACAAAATTGTGACAACGACAACAAAGCTAAAATTATGACACAAATAGAAGGAAATTGTGACAACAATTAAAAAAATTGTCACATGAACAAAACGAAATTATGACAACGACAACACAGTTAAAATTATGCCAAGAAGCAAACAGAAACGACCCGAGCTATGAAGCAATTACCGAAGTCTCGCCTTACAGATTCATCGAGTGATGTGGTCAGGTATCCTCTGTTTTATTCAAACCCTCCCTGCCGCTCCAACTATGTTCAACCTATCCCCGCTGATTAAAACAGCTAATATTTTCTAACTCGGTTTTTTGTTGGCGCAAAAAAACGCGACACAAAGGCAATGAGCGGAATATTAGAAGCGGTTGTGTTGACAATGATGATTTTTAAAGTCGAAGATGGACTGATTTAAAGATGTTTGAATCAGAATTTGGAAATATACTGGCTATGGCTGTAAGTTTAAACAGAGGAATTATTCACTGGCCTCTAGAGAAGACCAGTGTGGTTATATAATATCCCTTTGATGCGTACTGTGGGAAGACGTGGTCGGATGTTAGAGCATACGGCTGCTAACCCGAAAGTCTAGAGTTCGGATCTCGGGTTTGTATAGGTAGAATGTAACTCACTCACGTTATGGAAAGTATAGGCGGTTGGGCACATTTGCCGTTCATATGCAGAGGTCACAGAAGCAGGTGAACTCTACTCCACCTGGACGGTCAGGTTCGAAAGGGAACATTATTTACTTATTAATATAAAAATTGGTTAAATTTTATCTTATCAAGAAACAGTTTAATTAAATGTTCTTTAATCAAGAAACCATTTGGTTAAATGTCCCCTAATCAAGCAAAAAAAAAAGATAAAACAAGTAGACGTTTAAAGCAAATGTTGGTTAATGATTTATACACAACAGTTTGATTAAATGTCCTTTAATCAAACAACAGTTTGGTTAAATGTCCTTTAATCAAGAAACCATTTGGTTAAATGTCCTTTAATCAAGAAATGGATTGGTTAAATGTCCTTTAATCAAACAACAGTTTGGTTAAATGTCCTTTAATCAAGAAACCGATTGGTTAGATGATATCTCCATTGTGATGCCGCTATGGCGCCAATAAAACTCCACACACTGCTGTGATCTACCCATCGATTCCAGGCCAACAGTTACTGTGATGTCATCGAATTCAACCGTTGATGGGGAAAGTGGAGGGGTGGGGTGGTAGAGAAGGGAGGGGGGTGATAAGGGAAGGGATGGGATGGCAAAAATAATGATAAAACAAGTAGACTTCTAAAGCAATTGTTAGTTAATGTTTTATATACTTTTCATTACATGAAAAGTCAATTTAACAGGTTAGACAAAAATGTCTTTGGGTTTAGACTAACAGCATTCATACTAAATACTAATTCTTTATTACTTTGGCGACTACTACCATCATACAAAGTGTTTGCTGGTATACCTATGGGATCTACCATCATTTAAAAAGTGTTTGCTATGGGATCTACCGTCAATACACAATTTGATAACTGGTATAGCTATAGGATCTACCATCATACAAAGTGTTTGCTAGTATACCTATAGGATCTACCATCATACAAAGTGTTTGCTGGTATACCTATGCGATCTACCATCATACAAAGTGTTTGCTAGTATTCCTATGCGATCTACATTCAATACATTTGCTAGTATAGGCCCTACCTATGCGATCTACCCTCAATACACAATGCGATATCTGTTATAGCGATGGGAACTAGCGTCTCTTGCCATCAAATAGAACCAAGGGAGTTAGGGTGTTCTCGAAACTTCTTGTCACTAGGCTGACAAGCTTAGGACGAAGAGAAGCCCCACCCCCGGGGTATGGGAGTACCACTCCAACACAACTGGGTCAGGCAGAATCACGGGCAAAAGTTTCACGCTTGAGTGATTCAGCTAGAAACCATGGAGAGTTATCCTCTTAATCAGTGGATGCTAGCGACCAAAAGGTAGACGTTGGCTCAGTGGTATGGATGGCGTGGAGATAGACCAAAAGGTAGACGTTGGTTCAGTGGTATGGATGGCGTGGAGACAGACCAAAAGGTAGATGTTGGATAAGTGGTATGGATGGCGTGGAGACAGACCAAAAGGTAGACGTTGGCTCAGTGGTATGGATGGCGTGGAGACAGACCCGGGGCAGTGTGGTGTTCCCGTAGCCAGATAAGTTCTGGAGAACAACCCTGGCACCTGCAGCCGTGGTGCCTTTGGTGAGAACTGACCGCTAAGCCTTAGACACGTGGTACAGAAAGACGCGAGTTTTAATATATAAAGACGTTCCTCATGCTGGCATTGGCGTTAGCAGGTTTTGTAATTTTGGGGGAGGGGTGGGGTAAGCAATGTTTACATATGTTTATATTGTTTATATATATATATATATATATATTTATATATATATATATATATATATATATGTATGTATGTATGTGTGTGTGTGTGTGTGTGTGTGTGTGTGTGTGACACTTTAAGAATGTAAAATTGTGGTTTTATCACATTTAGACGTGTGTACTTGTATTAAAAGCGACACCAACAAACTGAAACAATGGGTGTAATTGTGTAAGATAACTGACATCACGACAATACCCACATTCGTGACTGTGGAACTTTACATATGACAGCTGACATTGTGACAATACCCCCTCACCCCTGACCCACGGGACTGTGGGAGAGTATTTTGTAAGCTTTTACTAAAATCACAATGCCTTCTTTAATATAAACATGGGTAGTTAAAATCTGTGAGAGATCTCATGAGCCACGAATATTTTGACTAAAGAAAGTTTGTTTTATTTATTTTTATTTCCGTTGCATTTAAAAGCTTATTATTAAAAGTGTATTTTTTATATTTTTTTATTATATTTTATTTATTTTATTTATTTTTATTTTCAGTTCAATTTAAGCTTTTTATTTTAAAAGGTTTTTTTGTCTTTGTTTTATTTATTCATGTCTTCAAACACGTAAACCAAATTAGTATCGGGTGACAGTTTACTTAGCAACAAGGTCTAGCAAAGATTTAATGGACTAAAACATGGTAACATAGTAGTTTGTGATACTTTTAGTCAATAGCAACGTCAAACAAAGGTTAACATTTAATTAACAGCAAGGGTGAAATAGTGTTAACATTTTGTTAACGGCAAGGTCAACGGTTAACATTTAGTTAACAGTGAGGCCAAACAAGGGTTAACATTTAATTAACAGGAAGACCAAAGGTTAAAGTTTAGTTAACTGTAAAGTCAAACAAGACTTAACATTTAGATAACAGCAAAGGTGAAATAAACTTAACATTAAATCCAAAAAGAAAAGCAGGCTGAAATCGGAGTCAATGGCCTCAATGGCGCATAACCAGTTGACACGTATCCTTAATTGTGTTGGAAGGGATCCCTTACAACACTAAAATTAAGAACGATAAAGAAGAAGAAGTTAACATTAAGTTGAACCAAAAGGTGAATAAACTGTTGACTTACCTTCCGGCAAATGACGATGGGGGAAGACGCCTTGAGACCGGCAGACTGCTGGGCGATGCCGGCAGACTGCTGCAGCTGGTGCTGAGCGAGACCGGCAACCGTGACGCTCTGAAGGCCGGCAGTGACGGGTAGGATAAGGTCTTGGTAGGACCTGGACAGGTGGGCTGGCACGGAGTAGAGACCGGCTTGCGTTGGTTGCGGCCCTAGGGATGGAGTCTGTCCGTAGGGGTAGTAGCTCACATACATGCTGTGAGGGGCCACAACACGACGCTACAAGTCAGGGGACACAACTTGTCCGTACGCACAGAAGTTGATGAATGACAAACTAACTGTAAATCATACCTTGATTAATTCACTGAGGCACTTTTTGAACTAACCTTCCTAGGTTAGGAAATTCCAGAAAAAAATAATGCCTTGAAAATAAACGTTAATTTTAAACTTCTTAATGTAACACTGTGTAAATTATAAGCTATTATGTTTCTTTAGATGGCGAAAAATTAATTTTTATATAATTGCAAGTTTTTAAATAGACACAAAATCGGTGAAAATGTTGATCTAGATCTAAATTAAAAAGATTTTTTTCGAAGTAAAAGGAGGATCTGTGAAGAAGAATAATAATTAAAGTTGGGGAAAACTTTAATTTCTTCAAATGTGTATAGTATTAAGGTAGATGATGTAACATTAAATCAACTAAAAAATATACGTGTGTTTTTATAGCTTTGTTAATTAATGTAATATATATAACAAATAATTTCACAAATTAAACTATGCACAGAATTTTAACACAGACAAAGTGGTAAATATTACAGTTAGAATTCCTGTCCGACTTTTTTTATTTACTGGAGTTACGTCCCATCA